ATAGCCATGGTGCTTGAGATATTAAATGCTGCTTGGAATGCTTTCGCTTCATACACCGTAACATAATGTTGAGGCGAGCGCCTGTGTGAATCTGACAGATCAATCCGACAGATCAGCTTGATAGGTGATATGGGACAATTGAGACATATTGATGAGTTGTATTAGTCATCAATGGATTAGCGGACCACCTCAACAAATTATTCCAATAATGATAGATGTGCTAGATATGTGTTTTGGCCCGCATAAGCTAATTTTTTATATACAATATGTAAAATTACAAAGCATCTAGAATTAACTGTCTAATTCATTTTCAATGTCGGATTGTAAATACACGGCTTTGTGTAAACTGTTGCTCTCCACCACCTAATCCCATAGCCTCCTCCCGTAGCTTCTGTCCATCATTGCTGCCAATATCACCCGCCTCCGAGCTATCATCATTCATCACCTGCTTGCCGCCCGCTAAGATCTGTGGCCACATATTCTACATAAATCTTATTTTTTTGCAATCTAATTAGGAGAATATAAAGTCTTGTATTTATTTTACACTCAACTAAATAATTTAAAAATATTTCGAAAATAGCAAATTACATTTATATTACATTATCTTTGTTATGCATTCCTTTTTTTTAGTAAACAAATACTTGCCCTCATTCGATTGCCAATATGAATACTATTAGCCCTAGTCTATTGTTATCTTAGGGTCTGTTTGGGGCAACTGCAGCTTATTCAACTTCTGCTGATAAGCAACATATTTTGATAATCTGCTGATGAGCAGCTGATCCAGATAAGCTGTCTGATTGTTTAGTTTGTGCGTCTGGAAAACAATTAATTTTGGATAAATGACCATTATGTCCTTGTTCTGGATAAGTTGTTTGGTTTGTGTGTTTTCTAAACAGCTTATTTGTAAATTTTTTTAATTGAATAAATAATTTTGTGTCCAATTCAAGAGAGAAATGTTTGTAGCTGCACCTTGAACTCATCATTGAAAAGTCGAAAAAAGATGGGAAAGCTAAAGCAACACCGTGCTGAGATTAGTGAACAAATTTCAAGCACATAGCTCGAAGATGGCAAAGCCGAGATGAAATTTGCATGTAAAACTTGGAGTGGATTGGATATGAGGGATATGAGGAAGCACTCGACTGCTCAGATGTTGTACAGAACTAATCTATAGTTAGGCACTAAGAATGTTAAAGCAGAACATGCCACTCAAGCCAATCTAATTGTAAAGATTCAACTCGTATCCCTTACATGCTTTCATTCCTATTATGTTCTTATTTCTAAACTATGACCTGAGTTTTAATTTCTTTGTAAAACTAAGGTTTAATAAAACTAACCCCAAATGATATGTATAAGCTAATGAGAAATGAAATGGATTATCTCATTGCGTTGAAGCTATAACATGATAAATTTAAGATAGTTTTACATACATACCACTCAATTTCTCAGTGAAATACATATTTTCTTACAAGATGGATTATCTCATTGCTTTGAAGGTTTGGATATTTGATATTTAAGGAAGAAACTCATAAGTGCTACCCTTAAATCCCCCTAAAATTTTAGGTCACAACCAGATAAGAACCCCAATAAACTGGGCAATTTTTGTTCATCATTAAAGAAATTATACATCATAATTCCAAAAATTACACGGCTAAAAATTAAGCAATCGATTTCCTGAGAAGATACAGTGGCCATCGGGCAAGAATAAAGAGTAACAACTTGCAGGATAAAAAAATCATTGAAATGCAATGTACAGTGGCCAGTGAAACCTTAGGCAAGGCGGGAGGCGGAGACTAAAGAGTTGTGTAACCAGCAGAGATAAATTTCTCTTTGTGAGAGGAAGCGACGGGGAGGGTTTCGATCACGAGGGTTTTTGGGCGGAGCCGGGAGGAAGGGGAAGTGGGCGAGGGTTTTTGAGGGGAGTCGGGAGGAAGGCAAACGCGAACAGGGGCAACAACGTCAAATGCTGAAGGAAACGTCGGACCACGGGGCGCCTCCCGCGATCCGCGTGTAATATAAATTAGGAAACGCGGTTTTTAAAAACTCTACTTAAACACGAGAAACAAACATCAAAACGCCGCCGCACTTATAAGCTGCTGCCGCAATTATTTGCATGCATTTTGTAAAATTTATTTAACACATATATTACTGAAGGAGTTATTTCAGTTTGCTAAAATCCGTTTGGTTTGTATTTTTCCATAAAAAAAAAAATGCAAATTCTTGATGGTGATGGAGATTTCGGAGTGATATATTTAATGAAAATTTGGCGCAAATTTTATGAAAACAAAAATTATTAATAATATAAAGAGCGAAAGGCATAATATCTATTATTAATGAGTAATCTAAATAAAATAAAATTATTAGAAATAAAACAGTGCAGAGCAAAATATAATATACATAAAAAAAATGAATAAAGAAGGTTAATAAAAAATTTTGACATGCATATCGGGAATGTATCAGCATGAATTTTTAGGAGATCTAACATTGCATGTGGCAGAAAAGTACAACTAAGGAGAGTTTGTCAGCAGAAGATCAGGAGGCCAGCTTACCTAACCGGTCATAGCAGTTCGAACCAAAAGCCAAGGCCAAAACAGACATCATGCAGTCATCCGAGTCAGAGTCCACAAGGTTAAAGAAGCCCATATGGTCTGAGCTGAACTCATTCAACCAAAATAGGACAAAAAGACACACAAGTCAACCATTATAAGAAATCTCGTCGAAACCAATAGTTAATCAATAAACCAGACTGGAGAAAAGACTCAGCACATTACTAGAAATAAAAAATCAACAGTCGAATAAGATCAGTCGATCGCTAAAGTACAACTATCGGGCTAGTTTTGTTGACTGGAAATCCACCAAAGGCCGACTGACAATCTCGACTCAAAATAAATGAGTTTTTAGTATCAAGGACACTAAATTCTTTTTTTTACACATAAAAGTTTCGAAACATTTTATTTACACATGGACGTCTTTGTTACCCCTCAGAGCATTATTTTTGTCTCACACTCCCTCTCAGCACATGCTCTAGAAAACACTAGAGAGGAGGAGAAGAATGGGATGAGTGAAAAGAGGAAGAGAGGGACACCGACAATTTTAATCGCATTTTCCCGTTTCATCGTGACTAAAAAGATTCCTTGCTTTCTTCCCGCCAGCTTGGCGGAAGAATGACGAGCGCTCGAGGAAGGAGGCGGAAGAATGACGAGCGCTCGAGTATTACAAGAGAAGAAGATGAAATATGATTTTTTTTTCCGCACCTTTATAACTTTGACAAGAGAGGGAAACATGCGAGACGAAAAGAAGGCACGGAGCCCTGATAGAGATCAAGATACATAAATAAAATATTTCAAGGCCTTGATGTGCAAATAGCACGGCTTGAAATCTTTGATATATAGAACCCCTAAGATGGCGTTTACATGCATACCACAGCAATTTTTTATATTTACATATTTAATACTCAAATCTTTAATATCACGTTAAGATGATCATTATCTCGGATTTTAAAGGAATGGAGCACATTTTCATTATCATGCATTCCAAGTGTCATGAATGTAAATATGATAGTTTAGGGGTCAGATGTGTAAATATTAAGAAATTGTGTAGTATGCATTTACATTTCCTAGTAAATAAATTATGGGGCGATTATATAAGTATAGGAATTAAGTGGTATGTATGTAATCTTCCAAAAATTATTTCCTAAAGTAGTGTTTAAAGTAATGAGACTTGACGACGGTAGAATTTAGAGGCGGGCCAGAGCTGAAGCTGCAGAGCCCGCCCGTTAAATAGATCTACCGTTCATCAACAACTGTCGGTAAGGCTCTAGCATTTGCCACGTGTGTCTAAATTGGCGACATGAGTTAACGCAGCAAGCTTGGCGGTCTATATTAAGCCCCGGTTCAGAGTTCCGAGCCACAAATGTTTTTACTCGGTTCCTCCGGTCCCGCCGCCGAATGCGGGCCCGCTTTAGCAGCCTTCCATCTTATCCGGGTCGCTTCTTTGGTCTCGATTTGACGTCCACATAGCTAACAATAGAAAAACAAACACAATTCAATTTGAGATTTAAATGGATTAATTGATTAGGATAAAATATTTCAATAATACATTTAAATTTTTTGGCTAGGGTTCAAGTTATCCCTATTAATACATTGAGAGTTTAATCTGAAATTTACCTAAACATATCTCGATATTATATGCGGATCAGTTTCAGTTTCAAAATGAGTCCTGAAATTTACCTAATCCACCATTTCTTACCCTTCTGCTTATCAACAATGACTGAATATTTTTTTCAAAATCAAATTTATGGCCTCAAATCTGTTGAAACGGTGGACTTCAATAGGCACATTTTACTTTCATCTATGTCAGATGGTTCTTTGGTTGATTAGGGTTACTTCTATCATATTTTAATGTAATATTTTCAAAATTGAAACCCTTGCACCGCTAACAATACACCATTTAATAGCTCCTACTCAAAACCAGGTTTTCAATACCCCATTTATTGTTATTACTATTCCACCTTCTATAGCTTTCCTCTTTGTTATAGGAACAATAATCCAACACATTTTACCTTTTAACTAGAGCCGCAAACAAACCAACATTCGACAAACAACTCGTGGCTCGGTTCCATAAGAGCTCGTTTATGTTCATTTCATTATGTTACCAAACAAGTTGGAACACTTTTATAAATACTCGATAATCAAATGAACAAAACTTGATAGAGCATTGTCCGGCATCATCAAAAGCTCGTAAAGCTCGTGAATATGCTCGGCTGAAGCTCAAATAAATGCTAGTGAAAATGCTCAATAAAGATAATTTGGTTAGACAACAAATAACTTCATTAGGAAGCTCAAGAATATTTTTTAAAGCTCAAATAAGACTTATTGAATACTGAAAGAATCGAGCTCAAGCTCGATTAGGAATTAAACACGTGACAATCCAAACTAAAACATATTAGCATTAAACATCAGAAAAATATATATATATATATATATATAGCTATAATTAGCACCCAAGCCATGCCCAGTTAGGGTTCATGACACAAAAAAGGTTAGGGGGGGGCAGCCATCTAGTTCAGCAGCGCAGCACAAGGAGTTGCTACGCATGAGAATTAGAATCAGGAATATGAATAGCACCCGCCACAACGTTAAAATAATAATCAGAAGCAGCAGTCCACAACCCCTTATTTACACAAATTTACATTTCTAATTCGCTAAGAAGCACTTCAGTTACATTCAAGTCAGGAAAATAAAATGCACTGCGATTCTAGTAGCCTACAATCTCATGTGGTGGGTCAATTATTCACTCCGATGTGAATGATGGGTTAAAAGGCTGTACACAGATTATTAGCCTTCATGTTAGATGAGCACTCCTGTGGAATTTGGCTGGCCGGCACGCAGAGCCGGCTCCTTTTCGGCTCCGATATCCTCACCCTTGATATTGCTGCTGCGAGAGCATCGACGAAGCCGCCGCATTCGTCTTGATCTTCTTCGGACCGGTGAGTCAAACACCCGGGATCAATTATGGGTGCTGCTGCTACGCTCCGATTACGGGTTATTGGGTTGATGGTCATTAGGTTGGAGGGACCCTCCGTGTAGAATAAAATCCAGGGATGTCCTGGATGGATGTGAGACAGAATTTAATAAGCAGACGTAGCTTGAAGCTGGAAGAAAATTAAAAAAATAATAATAATAAAATTTACATATATATTATGAATAGTAGGGATATATATATATATATATATGTATGTATGTATGCAACCTTTCCTAAACATGAAAAGATGTATCACTTTTTAAAAGTAAAAATGGTGATATTTTTTATGTGATATGAAACATATGAATCATTTAAATGTAAAAGGCTAACGTTTAGGCATTAGATATATAAATAGAGCAATTGAGTGGCATTTATGTAAATGCCCCATAAAAAATGAGATATTTACATAAGTGGCATACAATTACTATGTATTTACATATCTCACACAAAATTTTCAATATTCACATACATGTTACTTTGTTGTTTTAAATCTATGCATGAAAATGTGTATTTTACTTTCAAAAATTAAAAAGTCTTATTTTTTATGTGATATTAAAGTTTTTGAGTACTATGTGTGTAAATATATAAGTTTAGGTAAGAGATATGTAAATAGATAAGAATTGTGTCCTATGCATGTAAATGCCCAAAAAAAAGAGAGATAAATTGGTCGAAGAGGAAGCAGTACTCAGAATTTCGTCAGCAACCAATCTGGACGAGACATCTCGAGTGAGCATTCGGCTTAATAGATCCCGAGCAAGAAGCGATACGGAGTCCCACATTCCACCATGGAAATTGAGCTCCACGGTTTTAATAGCCTCGAATATGGCTTCGCGAGAGGTTCCTGGGAATGGAAGTGTGCCGACTAGAAGGGCATGTAGAAGGACACCGGCGCCCCAGATGTCAACTTTCTCGGAATAGTGGCCTGAAAGGACTTCCGGAGCAACATAGGCGGGGCTTCCGGCAATACCAGATAGTCTCTGACCTGCACAAAAATGTACCCGCATTTATAAGTTAAAATCTCTGCTTCATGCATGAAATTTGAACATGATATAAACATGGTATTTTGATATTTCATTGTTATATGAATAAGGCCTGGGAGCGTTACACTGTTATTCATAGAGAGAAAAGCTAAGATTATGTTCATAAGAAAAAAAATATAAAAACAAATAAATGAGATAATGCAACGATGAAGAATACATAAATGTTTGTGGCAACACAGCAATGAAGGCAAAATTATAAATGAAAATAAATAAGAAAATGAAGAAAGAGAACAACGACAACAAGCGCTTCCAAATTCTAGGTAATGAAATGATAAAGGTAGCAGCACTTCATGGAAATGCTTCAAAAATAAAAAAATAGAAAAGAAAACTAATCCCTGATAACATGATAAAAATTGGAGAGAATTAGTTCAGTATTTTATTTCAGCATATGTGAAGTATTTATGCAATCACAAGAGAGGTTCTAACAGAAAACATACAGAAACTAGGGAGTATAAATTACATAATAATTACAATAATCTCTGAATGAAATAGTAGACAGAATAATAATTACAAAATAAATAAAATAGTTCAAAAATTGATTAGCAAAGAATAATAATTCCAGGACAATGGCAATAGAAGGCTGAAATTATATAAGCATTTAACAATAATCATCATCTCATCCCACCAAACTGACCTTACCTTGTAGAGGTGGAAATGCAGGACTATTTCATGGTCTGCTTCTGCCTGTTATTGTCACTATTTTTCAATCATTTTATAGCTAATTGCTACGGCTTCTATGGCCACTGACAACAGGTGATTTGTAGATTTCCCCGGAAATGCTTGACCGTTCTACCCAAACCCGGTTTCAATTTGGGAAAAGAAATATATGCTATGAAGTTGTTTAAAATTCTTGACTTTTTGAGAAAGTTTAAAATCAAAACTTAATATTTACCCAAAATCAAATCGATGATCTTATGCAACCAAATCTACAAGCGAATATAAAATAATATGTTCCAAGCAACGCAGCAAAAGAGCATTGGCAAAATAAAATTTTTCTTCCAATTCTTAATTTTGTGGGTGCGAATTGAATGTGTGCTTTCTCTAAATGTGGTGCAACTACCTAATTTTGAGAAAGCCATCTCTTCGTTCTAACATGAAGCATAGTTTTTCTTATTTAGTTACTTTTGTTCCTTAATAATTTGATGTTGCTTCTTAGTGTGTTTATTTTGTCAAATTTGGACAACTGAAAATCTATTTTGGAGTTATTAAATTAAAATTGCTCAATTTTCTGATTCAATTCTTTTTATTTTTTCAAAATTCTGTTAATCATTTCATTATCATTTAGGGTCGAATTCTAGCATTGACAATTTACATTTAAAAAAAAAAAGTAATTATTTGGATAATTGGTGGCCCATAATGTCTAAACCCGAAAATTATTTGGCATGGATAGATATTACCCATTGTTTCAATGTCATAAGCAAGTTGTGAGCTCCAATAAGAGTTCCAAAGACAATTTCAAGAGGTGGATTTATACCAATTTGGCAACTGAAGGCTTATATAAATTTATACTTTCGCTTTCTTACAGGTAAAATCCCTGATAGTCGATTATCCTCCTTGTCTATGAAAAAACTCCCAATAAAAGATGTCACTTAGGCTTAAATATTTAAGATTGGTTATGATTTAAAGTGGGTGAATGGTAGAGGGGCAAAAGCAACCTATTCAAGATCCCATATAATCACGTCATCCTAGGTCAACGGGCAAACCTAATGTACCAATGTCAGAGGACTTCCAAGTTACAACTTCGAGAGAGCCTAATTAACAATTGGTTAATACATCTCAAACATCTCCAGTAGAATGGATTTGAGCTTTCTATCAAAGCATGTTTTTGAGATCAACTCTAACTCAATTAAGAGCAGAGGGTCTGTCATATTGGTGTGGCTTGATGGAACAGAGGCACACAACTAATCCTTCGATCAGGCACAAATCATGATGCATTTTGAGTCATGACTTTCATATTCAAATTCATTAACATCCAAGCTCCAAATTCAACAAATTTAAAATTAAATTGAACATCTTAATAAGTTGAATCCATTGACATCAAAAGTGATCCAATCCAAGTCCAAATAAGATCAAATCAAGCGCCTACAATACGAATGAAGACTTTGGAACATTTTTTTAAGGATCAAATAATTTTTCATCTTACATATAATCAAATCGAGTTTCCCAATAAAAGGAATACAACAAGCCAAGATTACTCAATTCTAAGATAACTAAGGCACTTAAATGATAAATAATTTATAATCAAAAGAATCAATATATGTCATTCGATGAAGCATTTTGAAAGTTCGACAAAATTTATTAAAATTCCACTCTTAAAAATTATAAATAAATCGCCATGTGGAAATAAATCTACAGCTTTGTTCAAAATTCAATGATGACAACTACCAACAATCACCAGTATCCAAAAATTGTCATCCTACCACCATCGCTAACTGCTATCAACCAACCATCGTCAACTGACTATTATCTTCCAACCACTGCCACCAATCATCCACAAGCAACTATCATCATTTGATCACCATTTTTGTATTGTTGTTACAAACCCACTATCACCCGACTGTTTTTTGTCCCACCACTATCGCTAAATCATCATCATTTGTCCATTAACCATTGCCTTAGTCCAAAAACTATTTCCTGACAACTATTATTTGATCATCATTACCCGGCCGTTGTAATCTGCCAATTGCCATAATTTTCGCACAAACACAATCGCCTAATATCCGCTATCATCTCTCATTTATTATCATCCATTCATTATTACTCAACCAATATCTTTATCACCCACTACTTCCATAAAATCATAGGAGATCGAGTTGATGTTGAGTGCATCATTTTGCAACCCTCCCTCTCTCACCCGAGTTTTCATCATTTTGCAACCCTCCCTCTCTTACTTGAGTTTTTACATAAAAACTCTAATATTTCTAATCCATATCTTTATCTAAATGCATAAAACATCTTCATACAAAGCTAAGATGTAAACCTCTCACTTTACCATCGCAAATTTTCTACCTCACAATAAAATTAAATAAAAATATTCAGTATGATATGTAGTTGCATGCTATCATTTAAGGTCTTCTTTATTGGAGAAATTCCCAGTCACCTGAAGAGTTTGCTTTGTACTCCTACCACCAAGATTCAAAATATTTGAGATCCAAAAAAAAAAAAAAAAAATTGGCACATAAACATTCCATGAATAAAAGTGGTATCTCCCTGTCATGTATTGTGATGAACTTCGAACTATCATAACCTTTGAAGTTCTATTTCTATCCATGGATAAGAAATTTATGCTAGTCAGCCTCTCCAAAGAGAAAAGATGGGAATTTTTTTTTCCTACTCCCACATGTAAAAGTACAATAATCCTGTAAAGTTCCCAAGTCATTGTGCTATTATCAAGTAAAATAAAATTATAAAAAGTTTCTGTTTCAGAACATGAACAATAGCTTAATTTTGATGCAAACGAATTAAAACATGCACCAAAATATTTGAGATAAAACTAAACACATGGCGAAAAAATAGAAAATGGCACACATGATTCAATGAAAATAACACTGAAGATTCCGAGCATCGTAAGAAAAAAAAAAAAAAAAAAGACCAATATCATCAATTACTGTTCGCAACTTCAGTCTGAGAAATACTTGCAGTAGATCTTGAAGATCACAGAGAAAGAATTCGCTGCATAACAGTAAACTCATGAAAAATAAAATTCTTCATAAAACTATATGTAATTGGGAAACTAGAATGACAGGTAACTTGTAGTAAATCTTAGTAATTAAACACAAAATCAACCAACAATAAGCAAAGAAACCAATATGGCATTAAAACTTTAAAGCACTAAGAATACCATAAGTTGCAACTTGTATCAATTATATTTTGCATTTACTCTTAGAATCTTCAACCATCACAACCATTTCATATTCAAGCCAGCCTTAAGATCACAAAAACATCCCTACATCTGGATTTACACTGATGGATGCATAAGTGGCACATTCGTCCTTTAAATGGCCAAATTACTGGACTACCGTTGCCCTACCATTACTTTAACCAAATCTCTATTAATCACTTAATGCAGGTTTTTGATTGTTCGTCTTCATTCATGCTAATGAAAGATCACTGTAGACATAATAAGAACTTTTTATCACCTTGAGTACTCATATGGGTTATATTTTAATTCTAAAAAGACTAATTTATTTTTTTTCCAAAATCGTAAATAATTATCATTCTTTGTGATATCCTTAATATCAATCCAGCTTTTTACCAAAGAAATATCCAGGCCCTCCCCTCACACTTGGAAGAATCTTAGTTGTGGATTGTCCACCTTTATTTGATAGAAGACTTAATAAGAGATTGAACAGTTGAAAGCAAAAAAAATTTACCTATTGTTGTTTTCAGTCTATTAGAATCTCTATTAAACTTTTCTATCCTACTAGTTCAAATCTTTTCATTGTCAAAATAAGCTATCCATCCTTTAGCTGTTTCAGGCCTATTAGAACCCCTATTTGACATTTTCCATATTCCTGGTTAAAAAATTTCCCTAAATAATTTTTTGAATGTAACTACTTTCGCATCTAGATTTTTATAAGCTTTTTATAGGATGCGGGTGCACCAAACAAGCTTCATATTATTTGTTGGCATCAAGCTACTTTTCTTAAAGTGAAAGGGCTCACAAGTTTCCCATCTCTTAGTATCCTGAATGCCACTCGTAAAATGAATATTATTTGAAAGTTCATTTGTCATTTGCATTCTATTTTCAATCTTCCTATCAATGCCAGAATTGTTGATATTATCTCCAATGTAGTTTGGCATCTTCCTAATATACATGCTCTAGCCTGTTCTTATTGTTTCAATAACATTTAAGCTGTCCCTAATTGACCTAGTAGGGATAGATTGTTCCACGCATGAGGAAAAAAAGACTAATCATTAATAGGAGCCAAATTAGCCACTTACAGAAATTCCTAGTTCTTAATGGTCAAAATTTAAAATCTCTTAGATACACTATTTACACCTGAATGACTTCCTTAACTGGGCTAGAAGTTGTGCAAAAAATGTCAGCCAAAAGGATTAAAATTAATGGGACTTGTGTTATTTGTTCGTTAAAAAGTAGAACTCATTTCTTCTGTTTTTAGATGTCACTATTATATGTTGCTGGTTTAAAAACTCCCATATGGACATTTCTTTCTGTTGGAAGCCTCATTACTTCAAACACTACAAATTCAACTCTTCTCATGACACTATAGATAAGAAAGCTACACCTTTTAATTGTAAGCATGTTGACTTATAATATCTATCTCAAAAGGTATAAAACAATTCAAGAGGCCGGAGCTAATAGTCTTGCCATCTTATTACATAGAATTAAATTTCACATTGGTCAAAAGATCAAAAAGCAAAAGTGGAATGACAATTAGCCACATGATGTTTGTGATTTTCTTTAATTATGGATGAGAAACTAATTAGTTATAATTACTCGCAACAAATCAAAATCTCCACCTCTTTTTAGAATTCTTTTGTTGTTAGTTTTTTAGCTTCTCTAGAATGGTTACTTTTCTTAGGTTTTGTGTGGTTGGAAAATGCAGGAATACCGAGTTTGGTGGAACATAGCATAGATTTTGGATGTGTATATCTTCGGTTGCTTTTGTTTCTCATTAGTTTGACGTTTCTAGTTGGCACATACTGAAATGCATCCTTGGTGGATCTACTTCTTTTGAGGATTTTAGTAAAAATTAATGGCATGCTCACAGTCAAATATGTGCAAGGTCTCTAACCGATGAACTTTTGATTAAAAGCCTAATTCTCAACAAATAGGCTAAGGTGGGTGCATTGGATATAGTCGATATGGTTTTATTTCCAATGAAGTGTACTCTACCTTCATGGATATTTCAATTGGTTTGAATCTCCAAGTTTGTGACTATCTTTATTGAACTTTTTGGGTGGGAGTGCTTATTTATATTGTGGGTGTGATGTCATTAGAAAAAAACTTTTTTTTAGGCCCAGGTATTTTGGTCGGGATTTTGTTCAACTGGTGTAGCATTACCCTGCATGGCGCTGTATACCTTGATAATTAGACATTCATGCACGCACTTAGCACAGCAATCATGAAGCCACTTCCTGGATGGCTTCCTTAGATATTTCATTGGTGGAGATCTTCATCTCTAACTAGTGTCGAGCCTTTCGAACTCTAAACTGAACATATACCACAAGTTCGTAGCTGAATTCTCTCCTCTCTCCATCCTTCGTGATGGTCTTGTGTTGATGCTATTTAACACTGTCGTAAAATTGGGGTTTGTTTGAGCCACAAGATCAATGGTATTTACCTTTGAAAGAGGAACAATGTAATAGATGAAACTATTGTAATTTTTATCCGATTTTATTCAGCCATGATTCGAATTAATTTTAAATAAAAATCAACAACTGGGATGCTGATAACAACTAAGGGACTGTTCGGGATCATTTTTCTTTTTGTTTTTGAAAACAAAAAATAGGAAATAAAAATAAAAACTGTGTTAGCTTATCTGTTTTTTGTTTTAATTCTGGTTTTTATTTTTTTGAGAGAACACTTCTATTTTTAAATTTACAAAAAGAGAAAAACATATTTTTGTCTGTTTTAAAACACTTAAACAGCCCTTCGCATAGCCTACTGTCGCTGCCCTCCGCCCCTAGCCTCCAACCCCTGTCAACCCCCGCCTGCCGCCGACCCCCTCCACCTGCCGCTCGCCGCTCGCCGCCAACTGCTCGACTCAAGCCAGACGTCGCCATCGCTGACCGGCCCCACCAGCCTTCACCTGCCTCGGCCCCCACCAACTAGGGCTGTAAAAAAAACTCGTTGTTTGCGAACAGTTTGTGTTCGGCTGGTTAATTAACTCTCGTCACATTTGTTCGTTAAGTAAAAAAGTCAAACATGAACAACGATTTATTTGCTCGTGTATGTAGCCGGCCGCCGTCCTCCGCCAGCCCGTGGCTGCCCACCCCCCAGCCCCCTCCCCGCCCCC